TCCGCAGTTCAAAATATATGAACTTCATATATTTCATTGTATCTGATTTATCACTTTCACGGGTTTATTACGAATCAACTTAACGGCCTGCTCCCAGTTGGCTTGTTAGCTCAATTGGTAGAGCGCTGCACTAGTATCGCAGAGGTCAGTGGTTCGAATCCCGTACAGGCCTGATTTTTTTTCAGGTCTGATTTTCGCTATTGCTTAAATAGCGCTATCTACTGCGAGGATCGCGCATCATACATAGATAAGAGTCGGAATGATTTTATTCACCATTAATTAGAAATTCATGTGTGTGGCTTTATCCTCTTCCTGAAGATAGAAGTATTGACAGTCATCAGTTTGTCAATATTGATTAAAATTTTAATGATTTATATAATTGATATGGATTTATATGAAAGTTAGGCTCGATCCTTTAGCAATGAATCTGCTTGACTACTTGATGTACAAATAGACTGAAACATTGCTCCCAAGATGACTCTTTTCTTCATTAAAAAGTTTCATCTTTTTTTCCTTTTAATATGAAATTTTGTGAAACAAATCAGTGTGTCTTTATGCTATTCTACACTGTTTAATAAGAATGTAAAATTGCCTTTTTGTGTGGATATTATTGTAATATAATAACATAGATACTATCAGTATTGATTGAAATTTAAATAATTCCTCATCCTCACAAAAATCTTTTAATCAAAATCAGGGGACAGTATGCCAACTGAGTGAATTTAACTTTTAAGATGATAATCTTATCTGTTGCTTAAGTATAAGTTTCATCCTTTTGATTTTCGTGTGGATTTTTGTGAATCAACTCTGTATCTAAGTCGCTCCACGCTTTTATTAAAAATTCTTTCCTAAGAACGTGAATGCCATTGTGATGTGGGGACATTTGTAATATTTACTGTCAGTTTTGATAACAATTCACCTCAGTACTAATGTGTATGTTTGTATTAATAATGCTCCTTAAATAATTGACTTCCTTCTAATTTAGTCAGTTGGTCATTATTACGGTAATTAGTTACTGTACCACTGTTATAATCTTGTAACCTAAATTAACCCCCTAACATCAGTATGCATATTCCCCATACATTTCCATTCTCTATACATTTCGTAAGATCTTTACAAGTAGAATTTGTTAAACAGTCATGAGCTTCTTTATTTGTGGATCATCTCTTTTATTCTAAGACTTATGACCTTAGTACTTGATTAAGGTGTGATATTGTTAGGAGAAATCAAATACAAGTAATATTTGAGGTGAATGAAGGATTTTTAATTTAAGGGTATCCTGAATGAAAATGAGTTGATTTTATTGAAAAATGTTCTTTTTTAACGTGGACTTTCATCTTTTTTCTTTTCACATTGATGTTTGAACAAATCAGATGGTAAGTTTTTTCAAGCTTTGATGTTTTGTTTATTAAGAGTGTTCACTGTTTTTCATTTTATCATTTCTGTTTGTATTCATGATGCTCCTTTAATAATTGACTATCAAAGAACTCCTTCTCATTTGGTCAGTTGGTCATTATTACCGTATTAAATTACTGTGCTACTGTCATAATTCTCTAACCTGAGTTAACACCCTAACATCAGCATCCATATTCTCCATACCGCGCTCTATACATTTCCTAAGATGATGACAAGTAGAATTTGTTAAACAGTCAAGAGCTTCTTTAGTTATGGATCATTTCCTTTATTCTCATGACCTTTAAGTGCTTTATTAAGGGGTGATATTGTTAGGAGAAATTAAACACTTTTTAATAAATGGTAAACGCCACAGCGTACAGTATTGAGTTATATGGATGCTTACAAGAGGTTGCTAAGCATGAAAGAAGCTTAAGTGTCGTGCTAGGCGATAACCGAGTCGGAGAGCAACTCAACTTCTTGAGTGTTTAGCAAATCTGTCAAGTGCATCTATTACTCAGTAGTGTACACTGTGGCCTTTGCCATTTGTTTTACAACATATACAACCTTGATACATTGTAGCAAAAGAGTTTTCTTTCATTTAACAAATATTGCGTGACCAGAAAAAAAAGTGCGCACGGAAAAGTAGTCTTTGCATTTGCTCATGTCAGCAGCGTACACCCATGGGCAAATGGTAGACGCTGATTGACCAATCAGAGCATGCGCTTTACTTTGGTTATGTTATAATCACTGTTGGGGGTCAAAGCTTGGGGAATTAATTGATTTTACTTTAATATGTCTTTTTTATTAATTGTATGTCATTCTTTTTTTTCTTTTTATGTGGATATTTGTGAACAAATCAGCACGTAAGTGTATTTATCCTTTTACATATTGTTTATCCAGAGTGTTCAATGTATTTCACCTTAGTAATAATATGTGTGTTTGAATTAATAATGCTCCCTTAGTAATTGACTCTACAAGAATTCCTTCTCATGTAATCAGTTGTTTTTTTTATATATTAAAAAATATTTATATTCTTTTATATCTTGCGTTATATAATTATTCATGTGGATGTTTTGGAATAAATCAGTTGGTAAGTTTCTTCAACCTTTTATTCATTGTTTCTCAATGGTGCTCAATAATAATGCTCCTTTAATAATTGATTTGGAAAACATTCCTTCTCGTGTAAGCAGTAGATTTTTCTATATTTCAAAAAAATATTTTTATATTATTTATATCTTGTGTTATATAATTATTCCTTTTCATGTGGATTTTTTTGGAATAAATCAGCTAGTAAGTGTCTTCAACACTTTATTCATTGTTTATCAACGGTGCTCAATAATAATGCTCCTTTAATAATTGATTTTAAAAGAGTTCTTCTCATGTAAGCAGTTGATCTTTTCCTATATTTCAAAAAAATATTTTTATATTAGTTATATCTTGTTATATAATTATTCCTTTTCACATGGACGTTTTGGAATAAATCAGAATGTAAGTGTCTTTAACCTTTTATTCATTGTTTATCAATGGTGCTCAATAATAATGCTCCTTTAATAATTGATTTTAAAAGAATTCCTTCTCATGTAAGCAGTTGATCTTTTTCTATATTTAAAAAAGATATTTTTATATCATTTATATCTTGTGTTATATAATTATTCCTTTTTATGCGGATGTTTTGGAATAAATCAGCTAGTAAGGGTCTTCAACATTTTATTCATTGTTTCTCAATGGTGCTCAATAATAATGCTCCTTAAATAATTGATTTGGAAAACATTCCTTCTCGTGTAAGCAGTAGATTTTTCTATATTTCAAAAAAATATTTTTATATCATTTATATCTTGTGTTATATAATTATTCCTTTTCATGTGGATTTTTTAGAATAAATCAGCTAGTAAGGGTCTTCAACATTTTATTCATTGTTTATCAATGGTGCTCAATAATAATGCACTTTTAATAATTGATTTTAAAAGAATTCCTTCTCATGTAAGCAGTTGATCTTTTCCCATATTTTAAAAAGATTTTTTTATATCATTTATATCCTGTGTTATATAATTATTCCTTTTCATGTGGATATGTTGGAATAAATCAGTTCGTAAGTGTCTTCAACCTTTCATTCATTGTTTATGAATGGTGCTCAATAATAATGCTCCTTTGATAATTGATTTTAAAAGAATTCCTTCTCATGTAAGCAGTTGATTTTTTTTATATTTAAAAAAGATATTTTTATATCATTTATATCTTGTGTTATATAATTGTTCCTTTTCATGTGGATTTTTTGGAATAAATCAGCTAGGAAGTGTCTTCAACACTTTATTCATTGTTTATCAATGGTGCTCAATAATAATGCTCCTTTAATAATTGATTTTAAAAGAGTTCCTTCTCATGTAAGCAGTTGATCTTTTCCTATATTTCAAAAAGATATTTCTATATTATTTATATCTTGTGTTGTATAATTATTCCTTTTCATGTGGTTGTTTTGGAATAAATCAGCTAGTAAGTGTCTTTAACCTTTTATTCATTGTTTATCAATGGTGCTCAATAATAATGCTCCTTTAATAATTGATTTTAAAAGAATTCGTTGTCATCTAGTCGGTTGGTCTTTATTAAAAACTTTTCTTTTTATTCCGTTGACTTTCATCTTTTTCTTTTTCATGTGGATGTTTGTGAACAAATCAGATGGTAAGGCTTTTGAAGCTTTGATATTTTTTTATTGAGAGTGTTCAATGTTTTTCACTTTATCATATGTCTATGTTTTTTATTAAAAAGTGCTTCCTTAAGTCATTGACTTGAAAAGACTTCCTATTCATTTAGTCAATTGGTCATTGTTACTGTATTTAATTACTGTGCCACTGTCTTAATTCTCTAATCTAAACTAACACCCTAACATCAGTAGGTATATTCTCCATCAGGACTCAACACTAATTTTTCAACTTACTGGCCAAGTGGCTAGTGACATCTTATATGTTTTTAGATGTTATGACAATTTCACTCTGTTTATACTAGCCAAACTTGCTAGTGGAAATTGAAGACCACTAGTCATAACTGAGTTTCTACTAGTCTCTGGCTAGTGGGCTACCATTAGTGTCAAGCACTGCTCCATATACTGTTCAGGATACATTTCCTAAGATGCTGATAAGTAGAATTTGTTAAACAGTCGAGGGCATCTTTAGTTGCGGATCATTTCCTTTATTCTTATGACCTTAGTACTTGATTAGGGTGTGATATTGTTAGCAGCGTGTCAATATCCTATTTTTTCCTATCTTTTTTGGCCTGCCTCCTATTTTCTCCTTTTTTCTCATGAAATTCCTAGTTTTTCCTATTTTTCTAGGGTATTACTAGGTGCACAGAAACGTTTTGAAATATTTGAAATAAAATTGCCAATAAAATTGATAAATTCTACAAAAAACAGAAACTTCACGTCAAAAAAGACCAGTTTGAAACCTTTATGAGAGCATTTTATGTTGCCATGTGCAGTATCCCACCTTCGGTCATGGTTACCACTAGGAAATAAGCTCTTGAGAGACGTAATATTTCTGGTGTTATTATAATAACAAACTCTTGTTGTTTTTATGGTTTAAAAATTGTGCTTTGCTTGTAGCCAAGTGCAGTCTTTGACTGTTTATTTTTTCCAACTTATTCCTTACGTTTGTTTGATTTGGTTCCAAAGTTAAAAGGACAAGCACTATAGTCATGTTAAACTGTTAATCATGTTAATTAATTTGATGATAGTTGATGGTGGTTGTCGAAACGTCAGTCACTGCCACCGAAAACAGTCCTTCTCAGGACTACACTCACCCGGACGATCAGACTACACCTTCACATGTTACCCCCGGGTTCAAACCATTTACTGCATTTAAAAAGATATTGTTGAAGCATGGAGGGGGAACTCTGGCCTTCAATCAAGGGTTGTTACATATCAAAGCTTATGCCCAAAAGTATCTAGACGCGCTCAAGATAAAGGCTTAACCTTCGCCGGTAGCTTATGAAAGTAACTTTTACTGTGATCAATGATCCCTTGAGTATGAAACGTCCAA